TGAAAAAGTTCAGAAAGACTAAGAAAGCAGCAAAGAGAAACAAAATAATGGCATGTAGTATATTCCATTCTGATGTACATCAATATCTTATATTGCAATTTTCTGCATACATCACCTACATTAAGAAACAAGCTGAAAGAATGACAAGTTCTTAGTCAGGTTCAGGTTCCAAGAGTCAGATTTTTTTTTTGCCTCTAACAATGCAGTGAGTTTCAGTCAGAATATATGACACCAATATCACATTTCTGACCTAATATCAAAGATGGAAGGGAAGCTCTCTCCTGGACTAAGACTGCAACTGTCAGTACAGAGCACAGCTACTGCCTTGTCTGCTGTAGCTGCAGCGTTTGTCGTGGAGGGTCACACTTGAAAGGTAGTTGGTAAGTGGTAGCTGAATGAATGAATGCTGCATACAAAAAGCCTGTGATTTGCCTATCTTGTTAGTGATGGCACTAATCCAGGGTTGCTCAGAACCACATTGTATTTAGATGTCTGAATCCTCATTTCATATTCCTAACACTACCCTTTACAGGGAATAAGTAAAGAGACCAAAGGTAATGGGGAGCATATGGAACAAAGATGAAAGGTGTAGATAGATACAGCTGGCCTTTCTGGAGCCCGTAGCAGGCCCCTCCTCTCCACAAGTCAAACAAGTCAGTGTTCGGAGAGTATAATCTTCTAAGCTCAACAGGAGGGCAGTTTTGGACTCGTAATTAAAGTATGTCCTACTGTCAGAAACATGTTTCTAAATGATGTGAGGATTTTTATTTAATCAGATGACAAACTGGCCAGCAGTTTGAAATTTGAAATATTTATCATTAAATTTAGTGGGATTCTGCTAAATATAAGATTGCCTCTAAACAATAAAGGTTTTTATTCTTTTTCTTGTGTGTTTGAATGTGTGTAAGTACGGGAGTGTTCAGGTATGTATGACCTGAGGTCAAAGGCTGATTTGAGGAGTCCTCATCTCATTCTCATTGAGGCAGGGTCTCTCAAATGATCCTTGAGTTTGCCACCATGGCCAGCCTAGCTAGACAGTTTCCTGCTGGGATCCCTCATCTTTGCCTTCAGGGGCTGGAATTCCTAGGGGAATCACACAATCTGCTTGTGCAGTGCTCTTAACCTCCAAGCCATTTCCCTAACCTGAAAGTTTTTAAAAACTAAGGCAAGGGGGGGGGGGACAAAAAAAAAAAACAAAAAACCGAAGATCATTTGCCTGCATGTACAGGAAAATACTTTTTTTAACATCTTAGTAATCAGAATGACCTCATCATACCTCTAGCTAATCGTTCAAAGAACAATATACCCTAAGGAAGAAGTTGACTGTTAATAACAGTTATTATGTAAAATTTCAAATAATATTCTGAGATCCTATTATTATTATTATTTTAACTTTACAGCTAATGCTATGAAAAGCAGTCAGCTTTGCCACTTTCTTAATGTTTACTGTACTTGCTGAATTAATACCAGATTTAATCTTCAGTTTCTCTGAAGTGATCTTTTTAAGTCACACGGCATAGTTGATGGCTAATTCAGTTAAAACTGAATGATATAAATCTCCACTGTACTTATAGGCTTCTACATATCATATGTCAAAAAGAACCAACTGGTGCTGGCTATCAACCTATTTCTATGTGTAGGCCTGTGTTCTGGAAGAAAACAAGACCTGTTTGACAAGTTCTGTGACTAAAGGCCCTCATGATTTTCCAGATTAGGAAGGCCAGATTTTAAAATTATTTTGCTTTAAATAAAAAACATAAGTAACATACATTCCTTCCTAAATCCCAAATTTCATTTTACTTGGGAGAAACCAGCTCTTTCATCAACCTTTAGGAGCACTTATCTTTACACAAATAGAAAATGCATGTTGCTATCCTCATGCATGGTGATGAAATCTGTGCCTTTCCACCTCACAGCCCATAGCCACAAAGCAAGCTGTCAGAGGGAAATCCATTCAAAGAAAAGATTGTTTTTATGACTAAGGGATTTAAAATAGAAACCAGGTAAGAAAGGAGACAATCGAAATAACATATTCTACTTTACAGACAGGAAACCAAACTATTTCAGAGCAGCACTTCATCTAGGACTATTTTAATGAGCATCCATGCCATGTTAACAACAACCCTGACTAAATATAGTTGCTAAGTATATGCTACATGTCCATCCATATATATATATGAAGGTAGTATTGTGATCTTGTTAAATAAGAGTCATTTCAATATTCTTCCATCAGCTAAAAGCAGAGGAAACAACTTTAGAACATACGTTCTCTAGCTTAGTAGACAGTAGGAGGCATAGTTTTTTTTTTTTAAAATATTAAATGTTAGTATTCTTCAGTTCAGTAACATCTATGAATGCACAATTATCTGAGATTCATTTTCCCCAGTCTTCTGAGATTTCAAGACTTTAAGTAAATAAGATTTAGATTGGAAACACACAATCAAACCCAAATTTTAAAACTTTTTAGAAGTTTAGAAAAATTTAAATGACATACAAAGAGCACTCACTCAATTTCTGGACAATAAAATTCAGTTGATTCAGAAGAGATAAGACTTGAGGTTCTTTAAGGACCTCTAACCGCTCGACTTCATGCCACACATAGACCAGCACTGGTGAACGTTCACATCAATACTGGATATACCAAGTCTCTCAGTAACCACATAGACTTTGTTCATGAAAGTCAGCCAACTACAGAGTTGGTTAAGGAAAAGTTAATGATCAGAACTCATAAGAGCCCTTGCGGCACATATTTCTGAAGCACTGGCAGAGCTTATGCCAATACTATTTTTGTATGAATAGCAAATTTTAAGAAAACAAAGTTGCAGAGCACAAACCTCACTGTGGTTCAGATTTCCAGAGTCTGTTTGTTCAAAACCTCAGAGAAGTTGAAAGTCCCTACTCCACCCCCGCCCATGCTCTTGAATAGCTTTGCTAAGTATATGTGCAGGAATTAAGAGTATTCTGGCCAGGTAATAGAGTGGGATCAATGTACCTTGAACTGAAACTTTAAAAGGCTTCACTACAGGCTTGCTTACGTGTGGGGCAGGCATCTAACCACACATTACTAGTCCGCCAGAAACAGCCCACATTTTCCAAAGAATAACTTTCAAGGGTGGGGCAAGAGGCTGCTGCAACATCGGAAAAATATTTAGCACCACGCCCTCCACGGAGGCCTAAACCCAGCTAAGGCTACTGTCAAATTAAGTCATTCTGGTCTGCTGTCACCGATCTCAAAGTGACACAAACAAGGCGACATAATAAAACGTGTACAAAAGTTTTGCACGGTGGCAGGGCAGGGGGCCCAGGGCACCTTAAAAGAAGAGGAAAGCATTCCAGACCAGGTATCCATTCTGAGGATGTCACTCAACTGTCCCCTGGAGTTTTCTTCCCCCGACCTGGCCAGGGTCACCCGCCTCGGTGATCTCTGCCTCCTCCCGGGGCAGAGCATTACTCAGCACCAGTAAGGACAGGAGGGTGCAGCGGGAAGGTGGGAGGGGACCTCGGCCCGCCGCTCAGGTGACAGCCGCGCCTCGGAGCTCCGGTGGCCGGGCTGCCGGGAACTGTCTGTCGGGGACAGCGGGATCCCCGGGTCGCGCCCCCGCTGCCGCTTACCTTGCCGTTCCTCGGACTGCCGTTCAAGAACAGCGTGACCCGCCGCATCGCGCCGCCCGCGCCGGGTCCTGAGGGAGCCGCCACCCTCGCCCCCGGCCCGCCGCCCGCCGCGCTCCGCGCCCGCGAGACCCCTCCCGCCTCCCACCCGGACTCTCCGCCCTTCGCCACCTTCCTGGTCGGCCCCACACTCCTCACGCACGCACTCTGAGTCCCACACCCCGGGGTTGGCCGATCCTCCTTCCCACCCCGCCCCTAGGCTCCTTAGCCTGCTAGCGGCCCTTCCCCCAACCGCGCCAAGACCGACACTGAGCAACGCCAATCAACACCCGGAGCCGGCCAGCATTCAGCCAATCTGAATTCTGCGGAGGGGTGGGCTCAGACCAACGCCAGTCGGCGGAGGGAGGAAAGAGAGGCTGAAGGCTGGTTGACGGAAAGGAGTATCAGCGAATCAGAGCAAAACCTACTGGCAAAGGGCGGCGCTAAGCGTTACGGAGCAGGCGCACGGTGGAGTGTAGGGAACTCATTTGCATAAAGAGACGCAATCTAAGGAAGAGGCGGGACGCTGAAGTCCCCTATACCAGTCAGCGCCTTGCTCTGCTTTAACCCCTCCTACTGTCCCACCCACTAAGGTAACGGCTGGTATCGGGATTGGCTAATGAGGTAGACTAGCCATCCTGCGGTTATGTCACGATTGGTCCAGTGATTCATTTTCGAAGTTTGCATCAGCCAATCCAAAGGTTAGAGGCAGGGTTATATGCTAACTGTGTATTGCTCCGCGGAACTCATAGCTAGTCCCCAGGACACCATTTTGCCGCAGGTTTGTCTCGCTTAGGGGGTCATTCAGGGCTGGCACTGGTTCTTCCGGGATACACGAAGGTCTCCGTGCGGCGTCCGAGAGCGCGACGATGAGGACTGGAGAGAGCAGGACGCGCGCTCACACGTAGGCTACGGCCCGGAGAGATCCCTCCGCGGGGGCGTGGCCGCAGTTTGAATTTGCTGGCGGGTAGTGAGGGTAGCCCGGGCGTGCAGTGGCCTGCAGGAGGCCGACCCGGCTCCTTTCGTTGGCTTCTGGTGCTTTCGGAAGTGGATCCTGCGCGACGCTGGTCGTCGACATCGTTGTCATCGTCTGTAGGAACGCGCAGGCCTTGGGCGGGAGGAGAGGTAGGTCTGTTACCAGGCTGGGATCAAAGGATGCAATGCCCCACCTAGTCGGTAAGGTCTGCTTTGTTTAGTCAATAACACCTCTTTAAGCAGAACGCCCCGAATTCTCTCCCAACATGTACCCCTAGTACAGATTTCGTTAGAGTTCCGTCGCATTTTTTTAAAACTTGTAATGGGATTATTTTTCACTTCTTATTCTTGTTTGTCTTTAACTTCCTCATGTCCAGATGGATACAATTTCACACGACAATCCGCTCTCAGAATCCAAGGAGCCTGTCGGTAATAATTGTGGTACGTTGGTGACTTGTTGCCCTCGTCAGATGGGAGGTTTGAGTGTTTGCCTTGATTGTGTTGGTTAGCCCTGCAATGTGCTGTCTGTTTTCAGGAAATGCCTCTTTTATCTTGGGAACCGGGAAGCCTGTGACGCCTCAGAAGTGTGTAGAAGACTCAACTCCTAATCTTTGCACCCCGGTTGCCTTTAAGTCACCTTTGGACTTCTCCACAGTAACCGTAGAGCAGTTGGGAATCACACCTGAAAGCTTTGTTAAGACCCCTTCAGGTATGAGAAGTTCTAGTATTGCATTTTTTTCAATTTTAAAAATAGCTATAGTGGGCCCCATTGTGCATGTCTATACTGACTGACTTTCTTGCTGTATGTATTTATACCGACCCGGCAGACTTGCTTGTTTCGGGAGACTTCTGTGCTCATCACAGCTCGCCATATAGAGCAGGGACCAAAGGGATCCTAAGGCTCCCAACATGACAGTGTACCTGTGCCCACCCTACACAACGCTGTATACGAAGAGGAAGTTGAAAGGCAGTTAAGAAAGGATAACACTGACAGGTTGTATGCCTCATTCAAAACCCAAGACAAAAAGTTGACCCAGAGGCTGTTTCTTCAACCTCAGGAATGGAGTTCACCTGTCAAATCTGACCGAGACAGATAAAGAAGTACAGTTCTTAGAGTAATAGAACAGTAACCATAGAGAAGAATAATGAGGCACTGAGGGAGCCGGTCCCACCATACTGTGTAAGGCGTGATTAGGCTAAGCCAGAGTGGCACTCTGACTCTCAGAGTTATTGCATAAGTGACTGCATTCTTTTTGGGGTGCTTTAGGGTGCATGAGCAAAATTCAGGATGATACACTGAAAGTTAAGCAACTTCTCTCAAGAGTAAAAGGATTACTCTGCAAAACTAAGCAGAATACAGGAGTCTCACCAGCCCTGCCCACATAGGGGCTGTCTTCCAAGAGCTCTAGTAAACTTTTAGCACTGAAGATCATAATGCCTACAGATACTGACCTTTGTGATGCATACATACCAGCGATTGTGCTTCGTTTATAAATTAGCCACAGTAATAGAGATGTGGCCTACTGGTCTGTGAGTAGGCTCTCGGAAACATGCCCTAATTGAGCTAGTTGGATAAGAATCAAGCTTGACCACCATGAAGTAGTCTTTCCCTGCTTAGATATCTACAGTCATTTAAGCATTTCTAGCTGAGTTGCCAGTGCGGCATTGCTCCTGTGGCTGGGGTTAGCCACAGTAAAGTACTGTCTACTCCTGCAAACCTCAACTATCTTATAGCCCAGATAGCCAGTGAGTGGCCTTACATATGTGACATGTACAGCACAGGTGCTACATTCAGAAGGCTCATGTATGTCCTGGGCCAGATGTTGGACATTAGATTTTGTGCTGCTTGGCATGTTGTTTTAATATGTGAATTACTTTCAACTGGCTGTTTGCAATATTTTCAGTTTGGATGACCACAGTAGATGAAACCATAGTGCACTATAGTATAGGTGCATGGCTTATGTTATAAACAAGGAGATATTTCTTAGCATCAAATTGTTACCCCTGCCCTCTCAGTGTAGTGGGGATATAGAACACAAATGAAAACTAATAAGAGTATTCATGGTATTCTGTACTAAGTGCTGATCTAGAATCACATGAATTGAATCAGTAGTCAAGTACAAGGCTCCATATGAGCTATTTTGCTGGTAATTCTTTAGTTTCCTGTAACATATATTTACTGTTTTCTCCCTCGTGGTAGCCCATCACTAGCCTAGGACACGATTACTGAGCATTGCAGTTTTTCATTCTGATTTGTGAGGGCATTTTGTTGCAGGAAAGTCATCTTCCCTTAAGAAGACCAGGCGGCGTTCTACAGTCGGTGTCCGGGGCTCTCCAGAAACAAATTGCCTGATCCGTTTCATTGCTCAACAGAGAAGCCTAAAGAATGCGACAAGATCTCCATTGGCACAAAATTCCCCCTTTCAGGTATATTTCTTGCTGAATGCTCATGAATTTTGTGAAGGAAATGTTTCACTCTATTTCTATTCGAGGGCTCTGCTTTCTGGCACTTCTCTGGTTGGATCTTGGGGTGGGGTGGGGGTCGGACTGCTTTCTGTGTCTTGTAGAATACAGGAGTCTCTTCAATACAGCGATTATGAGGTAACATGTGCTAATACCCAGCATGTGTATGGTAAGATTTAATGGATCTTTGACTTTATGGAGGGGCTTTTATTTTGTAAGATTTCATAGACTGAGGAAAGCTCCCCTCCCATAGTGTTTTTCTTCCTGTGACTTCTCTATATTTCTAGTGTTTTCATAACTGCTGGTTGGGCAGGGAAGGAAAAAAGGAACAAATGGCTTATCATCTGGTATATTTAGCTCTTTGTTTTTCAGATTTTTTTGTCAAGTTAATGCATGCCCCACAAGGTCAAATAGTTGAAGGCTTGTTATGAAAGATATAAGTCCCACTTAGGACTCTGCAAAGGGGAGCCATTATGATGTTGGCTCTTACTCTAGAATAATTCACTTCTGTTACTTTCACTGTTCTTCTGCTTTGCAACATGGTCTATGCAGGAAAAAATTTCTTGCTCATGTAATAAAACAGAACCTTGGGGTTTTCCTGAGTCACTTTTGGAAGGTTGATGAAGTCAACTATTTTTCTAATTTTACTAAATGTTATTTGCCTTTCCCCCCTAATGTGTTGATATTTATACCCATGACACAAAACTAGTGATGAGTGGGATTACTGGCCTGTTAGCAGGGTATCACACTGTCATATTAGCACTTACTGGGCAGTCACAGGAAATAATATAATATTAGTTTCATTAAATATCTTTGAAGCATTAATAATGATTAACTTTACTACATCCCATTTCTCAAATATTATATGTAATGAAGTAGGAAGTTTGCACCAAGCACTTGGGAAGCTTCTAGAAATGTGTGTGATTGAATTGTGTGGCCCGACCTGGCTATTTTTTCATAGAACATCATTTTCATGTGATGGATCAACTGAATGTCACGAATAGGCAGTGAATCTACCACAGAAACTGAACCCTGTCTTACAAATAAGAAGGCTTGTATTTTAAGAGGAAATTAAGATTTTAGAAAATATGTACCTGTGACTTGACAACTTCCTGACTGATCAGTGGGTATAGCATAAAATACTTTGATATTGCCCTTTTTTAACAAACCACTTTTTGGAAAGTGTGGATAGTACAAAAAAAAAAAAAACAAAAAAAACCAGTATTTTCCAAATGATCAGTGCATGCAGTTACAAAACCTCTTATAGGTAAGAGATGTCTCACATTGCAGGGTAGGCTGATAGATTCGTTTTTCTGTATGTGGGTCTAAGTGTGTGTGTGTGTGTGTGTGTGTAATATATCTATCCCAGGGGTTGACAATCAGGTGCCTTCTTTAATTGCAATATACCTTATTTTTTGAGATAGTCTCTTTACTGAGCCTGAAGTCTTCCAACTTGGCTATACAGGCTGGCCAGCCAGTCTCTGAGATATGCCTATCTCTGTGTAATCTGCCAACACAGGGGTTACAGACATGTATCATCATGCCTGGCTTTTCCATGGCCTCTGGGGATCCGAACTCAGGTCCTCATGCTTGTGTTGCAAGCTCTTTGCTCTTTGAACCAGCTCCTGAATCTAGAGATTTTATTTGAAAAATAAGATGCACATGTGTGCGGTGCCCACAAAGGTCAGAAAAGGGCATCAGTTCACCTGGCACTGGAGTTCCAGGGTTGTGATCTCTGCCCTGTGAGTACTAGGAATATTCTGTTGCTGTTTACTTCTATATTTTGTGTTCACTTCCCACAGTGGACAGTGAAAAATTAGCCCTCTTTCTTACAGCTTCCCAGTAGCTTGGCTTTGTTAGCATTCACATGATAGCTTTATTATGGTCCTGTATGCTAGTCTCTTTTTTCAATTTCTTTGGGTCTCCAGATCACGGTGTTCTCATTCTGTGTATTAGTTACTTTTTTTTTTTTTGTTGCTATGATTTCAGAGGGAGAGTCCATAATGGGAGCATTGCAGCTCTTTGTCTGTCTGCTTGTTTTTTGAAGCAGGGTTATCTGTTGCCCTGGCTATCCTGGAACTCTATAGACCTCAGACTCACAGAGATCCACCTGCCTCTGCTTCCCCGAGTACTGGGATTAAAGGTGTGTACCATCACTGTCTAGTGAGAGACCATACCTTTATTCACATGTAGAAGATGGAGAAGGCATGCTTGAACCCGGGGAAGGCTTTATAAGCTCTCAAGAAAGCCACTTCCTCCTGCAAGGCTGTACCTCCTAAAGGTTCCGTAACTTCCCAAACAGTGGCACCCACTGGGTACCAAATTCAAATGCCCGAGCCTATGGGGAAGATTTCTTATTTAAACCACCACATTCCTTTTCTGTGCCCCATCTCTACCAAACTACTTCTACCTGTGCTCTCTGACTTACTCCATTGCCATCCTTTCCTTTCAGTGGGCCACTAAGACAGTCTCAACATGGGTCAGGCTTGTTTGGAACTCAATCCTCCTGCCTCAACTCCAATGGCTGTGATTACAGGCATGTGCTACCCTGCCCTGCTCCCTGCCATCCTCTTGCTGTTGGCAGCCACTTTTAAACTCTTGGGCTTTCAGTGGCTGTGGCTGTGTTTAATACATTGAGATACTTTCTCATTGGGTTAAAGGACTACATGTTGGCCCAGTTTCTTTCCTGTGTCACTGGTTATTTCTGTTTTATTTGCTGATTCCTCCCAGTTTTTCCCTCAGAAGTGTCTGTGTGCCTAGATCTCTACTGTTTGCTTTGAGCATCACCTGCGTGCTGATGACTCTGAAATGTCTGCAGCTGAGATCCTAGAGCTCTAGACCTAGATACCAGCTGCCTGTGTAGTCACTCTGTGTGTCCAGAGAAGGGTTCAGAGCATACCCCTGCCAAAGTCGTTATTGTCCCATTGCTGTCACAAAACACGCGAGAGAAGCTGCTTAAGAAATGAAGAGGTTATTCTGATTCACAGTTTGAGTGTACAGTCCATCAGGGTGAGAATGACATGGTGGAGGTCACATTGGATCCATAGTCAGGAAACAACGATGAATGCTAGTGTTCCTCTCCTTTTCCCTGCATTAAGTCTCATGCCCAATGGGATGGTACAATCCATATTCAAGTCCAGCCTTCCTCCGCCTTGGAAATGTCCTCACAGACACACTCAGTCTCCTCTGTGGTTCTAATCCTGGCAAGTTGACTGTCAGGATTAGCCATCAACTAGCTAAAGCTGAGTGGTAGATTTGTATTTCTCAGCACCTTATCCAGCCCACTCAGGCCAAAAGCCTCTTAGTCATCCTTGATCCTTTCTTCCTTAGCGTGCCCATCCAACTCCTTTAGACTGCATTTCAAAGGCCTATCTGAATTCTCATCCTTCCTGCCAGGATCTTCAGCTGGTTTCCTTTTTTCCTTTTCTCCGGTCCACCCACTATTACACAGACCAAAAAGGTGTTTTAGGATGAATCACATCATTGCCTCTGCTTTAAACTTCCCATGTTTGCTGTTTGAAGTTACTTTTTTGAAGTCTCTTTGTTCTGCTGGTCTGAGCCCTGTCTACTTGTGGCCTCCCTCATCCCTGCCTTCCTCCAGGCTTGCTTTCTTCTGATTGTTCCTGAGGGCTTCTGCTCTTGTTTATCTGTACGCCTGTTCCCTTAGTGGTTTCAATTCAAATGCCACTTCAGATCTTTCTTCCCTAAGTAGGCAAAGCAACATATTGGTGCTTTCTCCATGACATCTTAGTGATTTCTTAAACCTCATTCTACATCCACACTCCAGCCCACAGGCTGGGAACAGTTTCTGTACATGGAAAGAATGTAACTTACCAACACTAACACAATTGATGAGACAAAAGCATGACAAAAGTTTTCATTACTTTGTTCACAAACATTGTTCTCTTCCTTTATCGGGAAATAGGTTTAATTAGGGAAACTTAGCTTAATCATTCCCAAGTGCTCTGAGTTCCTGGGATAGTAAACCAGCCCTGTTATATTCAAACAAGTTCACAGAAATGCATATTCAAGGTAATTTGTGTGCCTTTAAGATAATCTTTGTCACATAGATGAGTTGCCCACAAGCTTGTTGGGAATATTATGTGATGTTTATGTCATAAAGGTTTACATCATCAAGTACATTTCAGTTTAAAATGTTCTTCTATTATGTAGTAGGCAGTTTGTCTTATGACTCTGCTTAACTGGGCATAGAGTCAAATATAAGAGCAGATCACCAATCATGACTTCAGGATTTTAACAGCTTTTTCTCCGTATGATATCGTAAAGGGAGGTGGGCTTTTTTCCCCTACTTTCCTTTGCCTATTGGTTAGAATGTTAAAATTGCCACAGGTTCTTTATTAAGAGGAGTGTTAGTAGCCCGAGAATAAAGAAAATCAGCCTGGATAAAGTGCTTAATTAGTAGTTTAGTTTTTATATGAACAGAACTTTATAATTTTACATAATTGTCTTCATCTAGTCTTTATCTAGTAGTATAAGGATAGGGTTTCTAAGATTGGGCTTGTGCATCTGTGTTTGTGTCTAAAGTGCTTTCAACCCTAAGGAAGTAAGTGTGCTCTAAATCTTACAAAGTTAGGAAATTAGCCAGGAAGAGACAAGGGTGATGTGAAAAGTGTGTTCTGGAAGTAGAAGGGTCGTCCTTGTTTTGTCTGGGTCTCCCAGGGTGGAGGTAATCTCTGTGCTGGGAAGAGTGGGCTTATAAAGCTGATCACCTCATTGGATGCTCTGAGTGCAACCTTTGTCAGCGTTTCAGATAGGAGGCTGCCTCTGCCTCTTCCATCCTTGTTCTCAGCTCTGAGGTTGGCTTCATAAACACTATTGTTCTGAGCTGCTTTCTCTTCCCTTGCATACTGTTTGGTTGACACTGTCTTAGTGATGGCTGCCAAGGTTGTTCTTAAATCCCTTAGAACCCTTTTCAGAGTGGTTTATAACCACTCCCTTCCCCCCACAATAATAATAATAATGGTAATGATAATAAGTAGGGATGTATTTGGTGGGGGAGCCTCTATAAAAACACTTGCTGCCCATTTTAAGTTTCTGTTAGCCTGGCTCAGTAGCTGCCAGCATAATATTGGGTATCCGTCTGGGTGACCACTTAGCTATTCTTCTTTTGCTCAGATTTTAAAAAAACAGGAGCAGAGGAGCACTAAGATGGCCACAGCACACAAATATTCAGACAGAAAATGTGTGATTCTGAGGAACACTAATTTGTCTTCATAAGCCTTCCTGTGCTTCACTTTGGAGCCCAGCTAAGAAGCCTTTTAGTTTATGATGATCCTGTGCTTTCTACATTTCACAGGGCAGCCCAGGACTCTGTCGACATGCCAGTGCATTAAAAGAGCGAATGGCTGCTTTCCGGTCAGCTTTTCACTCCGTAAAGGAAACTGAGAGGATAACTGGTGGCCCCGCAGCCTTAAAGGCAGATGGACAGTCTAAGACACCAAGTCTGAGTGAGTAGAAGGGGTTGGCCAAGGTTGACTTTTGTGTATAAAGATAGCTTCTGCTACAAGAAAAGATGCAGTTTTTCCAGAGCGTGGTTGTATCTTTAAATGGAGACTAATAGCTAAAATGCAGGATTTACATAGAAATCTGGATTTCTGGTTTTAGGGGTCTTTTTGTTTGTTTGTTTGTTTATTTTTTTGTCTTATTTTGCTGATACTAAGGCTCATACCTAGGGACTCAAGTGTATTAGACAAGTACTTTACAACCAAGTTCCACCCAGGTCCTGTGATTTCTGTTGAAGACTTTATTTCCATAGTTACACTTGTGACTCTTATAGGGCCAATATCAAATAGCCCATGTCAGGCTTCAAATAGGGCTTTTGGCAAACTTAGGTTTGTGTTGATTTTTATAGACTTATTGTTAAACTTTGCAAAAATCGTTTGTGAAAGGCAGATGTCCAGCCCTGACGTTAACCACAAATCTGTCCAGTGTAATCAATGCCTTGTTAGTCTGCTGTATTCTTCACTGTGTCCATGTAATTAATTTGGTTAATTTTTAATAAGTTCTGGCTTTCAGTCACAAAGTACTTTAAACGGCAGAATTTGACAAAATATTGGCTTTCTTGCAGTCCTGTTTTTCTGGCACTTTATAATCTAATTACTTAACAGAGTCCATCCATTCCACAGGACAGGATCCCTTCAGATGTCCTAATTTGTAGTTTGTAACTTTCCAGAGGTTTGTTACTTTGGCTTGTGTGCCATGGGCTGGATAATGTAGCAGCTGCTGACCGTACACTGGAGCATAGCTGCCCGGTACATAAGGCCAGGTGCCTGGTCAGTCCCATTGTGGACCTGAAGCCCTAGAGGACTCTTGGTGGAGAGACCCTGGTCTTCAGGCCACAAAGCTGGTTTTGAGGGCACTTGAAGAGAACACATCACCAAGGAGCTGCACCAGCAGCCAGAATAAAGATGGACATATAAAAGCAACATTGCTTTTCTCTCAGCCCTGTCTGGGTCTCACTGTGCAGCCCTGCCTGCTCTCACAATTGCTTTATAGACCAGGCTGACCTTGAACTTTCTGGTCTCTACTCTTAGCCTTATGCCAGCACTGCATGTGTGGGCCACCACACCCGCCTTCAGTTTCCCTTTTTGAGTGAAAGAGGGTAGATTTTTGTTTTCATTAATAGATTATGTTTTTAAATGATAAATGTAAAAGAAAATATCCCCATGTTATTTTGTCTCTAATTTTCTTTTTGTGCATATAGCAAAAAAAGAAGGTCTTGTTGAATACCAGCAGTCTGGGTTCCCTCTAAACTCTTCAAAACGGCGGAGAATATCCTCCCAGAGCAGCCCTGATGACCTGAGCAGCATCAAAGGGAAACTGGTGCATGGACAGGTGCTCGCCGAGCGGGCCTGTGCTGTGGGCACCCCTGCAGATCTTGTTGAGGTGATTGTGCTTTTCACACAGAAACGGACCAGTTTAAAGACTGTCATGGCCCGAGATTAGTTCCTAGTTCCATTGTATTGTTGCTGTGGTTCTTAAAAGTGTGTATGTGTGTGCTTGTGTGTTTCCTGTGTGTGTGTGTGTGTGACTTTTGTTGTATCTATTGCGTTCGAAGCTGATTGGGAAGATGGGTCACTTTTGACTACTTGTATGAGAAGATAAAGCCCTGAGGGTCATCACGAGGTGTTCTACATAGTGATGGCTCGACTATAAGTCTCAGGTGTGCCCTGAGATGGCTTTTTTTGTCTATCCAGGGAGCACAAGTCCCTGAGCAGGTTATTTAGTTATTACCTGGAGTGTTAGTTGCTAAAACTGGGAGTGTCTGTCCAGGTCTATCCACCCTTGCCTACCTAGTCTGTCATAATACTGCCTGGGAAGCAGGCTCTTCTTGAAGTTCATCTTTACTTCTCTACTCGTTTCCAGTAGTGTTGGGAATTTTTGTGGATTGTGACAACCTAATATCTGTCAAGATTCTGGAAAAAACAGAAACTATCTGAATTTTCCTAAAGTAGGACAGAGAATGCTAATGAGTTGGGCAACTTGTCCAGCTATGGGTGCAAAGCCAGATGCATGACTTTCTTCTTCTCCTCGGTGTCTTCATTCTGTGATCAGAGGGTTTGCTCTCATTCCTGAGAGGAGGCACTTGACACTATCACAACTGCAACTAAATTTTAATTTTATTGTTTGAGAGATGAAGAAAGGGTTCGGTGCACATATGGAGGTCAGAGGTTCAACTCTCAGGAGTTAGTTGTTCTCTACTTTGGGCTCTGGGGACTGAATTTGGTCATCTGGCTTGCAGAACAAGTGTTTGCCTGCTGAGCCATCTTGTCAACCAAACAGATGAAATTTAGTCTGTGTCATCTCTGCCACTTAGATCCAGTTTATGTCTGACCTAGTGAAATGTTTGCCAGTCACTAGAGACTCCTTACTTTCGGTGAGTTACGTGGAGTGCATGTAGAGGTCAGAGGAGAGTTATGTGTGTACTCTCCTTCTACCATGTAGGTGCTAAGGACTGGACCCAGGTTGTCAGGTTGGTAGTAGGTACCTTCTCTAAGCAGACTAGCCCACACTAATTCTTTGTGATAGCAGGGGAGAAAAAGGACAGTCATAGTACAATGATCTCAAAACACCTCTACAATCCCTGTAACACAAGAACCACTTGTAGTGTAGACTGGCTTATGGTTCCAGTTTCCTCTGCTTTATTCAAGGTAATATAAAACGATCATTTGGCAGAAGCAAATAGTTGTTGTTTCTTTCCAGAACTTTGATTCATTGGACATAAATCACAAAGGAGAAATGATTTTTGAATTAATGTGGCTATGCTTTGGAGAATTTCCTCTCCAGAGGGTAGCAAATAGCACAGCTCTCTAGGCTTCAATAGGCAATAAAAATGAATTGCATAAGCTTTTCTTCAGGGTTAAACATAGTTTTGTGGAGCGTTCAGGATGCAGGTGGGATGAGTATTCTGTGGTTAGTTCCCTTGTATACTTTGCCCTTGCTGGCTAGAGACCAACTGAACAACAGGTCATCCACAGTGTTTATTGGAATCTCCATAAAGTTGTTATAAGCAGTACTGTTAGTAATAACATATTGTGCTTTTTATTCTTTCATATTTTCTCCCAGAAGTCATCTGACATTGGTCCAGTCCAGCCTGGCTATGTAGTTGCTCCCTGTCCAGAGCTCAAGGAGGCATCACATGGTAAGTATATATTTTTCTTAATGCAAATGTACATTGTCCCATTCATAGACATTTGTGATGAGTGTGTATATAAGATGAAATGAGTGAAAGCAGTATTTGGGATCACTGTGCTATGACCGTCTTTTTTTTTTTTTTTTTTTTTTTTTTTTTTTTTTTCCCCGTTATCACAAAGAATTAGGGTGGGCTAGATGGCTTAAAGAAGGTGTCTACTTCCAACCTAACAACCTGGTTTCAATCTCTAGAAGCTACAAGGTAGGAGGAGAGAACTCAAAAACTCTCCTCTGACCTCCACATGAGCTTCATTTCACACTTGTACCCTTATAACTAACATACAGACGCACAATAAATCAGTAAATGATTTTTTTTTCATTTTTAAAGGAAAATTATTGATGTACTTCCAAACTGGTGGCATAGTAGTATACTAACAAAATAATATATATTACTATAATAATGGTATAAGGATAGGGCCCGAAGTGCATGGTGGTAGATGCCTGTAATTCCTGTATTCAGAACGCTGAAGCAGAATTAGGAGTTCCAGGCTAGCTTGGGAAACAGCAAGATCCTGTTTTAGTAGGGAGGGAATAAGAAGGTCTATATATTTTGTTAGAAATACACTATGGATGGTTTTGTTTTGTTTTTTGAGACAAAGTCTTGTTTAGCCCAGACTGACTTCCAGCTCACGTTAGCCACTGATAACCTTGAACTCCTACTAATGTTCCTACCTAGTATTGTGACAACAGGTATGGGGACCACTCTGCTTTAGCCCATTAAGGTTTCAAGTAACTATTGATAAGGCTTGACATCTATTTTGCTGCCTTTTGGTTTATTTGACTCTTTTTTTTTTTTTTTTTTTTTTTTTTTTGGCTAAGAATTCTGTTTTAAGGCGGGCAGTGGCAGTGGTGATGTACACCTTTAATGCCAGCACTCAGGAGGCAGAGGCAGGTGGATCTTTGTAAGTTCAAGTCCACCCTGGTCTACAAAATGAGTTTCAGGACAGCCAGAGCTATACCCTGTCTCAGAAAAAAAGAAAAACAGAATTCTGTTTTAATTGCTATCTTTTAGCTGTACCTCATTCTCTCTTCTTCTTGTGCTCTGGGATTCCAGTACACATTCTTGCCAGTCATTTGGGTGGTCCTATGTACAGCCGATGTTCATGAAATACAAGTTCATTCACCCTGTGGCTTGATGTCTTCCCTTCCTTCCCAGGACTTTGGTAGCCCTTTGCACTTTTTGATGACATACACATTTACTTGGCTATGACTCCATGCACATTACCATTTTTGCTTTAAACCTTGCTTTAAACCATCAGATGTTTCCTGTAATTTAAGAGGAAAATGTACTCCTATTTCTGGTCCGTTTGTGCTCTCAATTTTTTGTTGTTGTTTTGTTTGTTTATCCTCTTAACAATCTAAATTTTCATCTGGAGTGTTCTTTCAACTTCACCCTTTTTTGTTGTGAATATATGCTCCGGCTTTTAATTTTCATACTCAGGTGGATGGGTGGTTTTCTGCCTGCATAGATAAGATACAAGGACAGATTGTATGTTTGTTACCTAGGTAAAATAAGGTACCTTCTTGGCAGATCTGCTTTGTTCTCATGAGACGTTGTGTTGTTTACGTGATGCAGCGCTCTGTATTCCATCTGAAGTGGGACCATCCTAGCACCCCACTAAAACCTACCTGGAAGTGCTGGGATGAACAGGGAAAGAAGGAGTGCTGTGAGCAGTGGGGATTTTGTCAGTGTAGTCCAGTATTTCATGCTGATTACTTGATGAACCTGCCCAGGGGTCAGATGGGCTAGAAAGCTTTGTTAGGGCTGAGGAGATGACTCAGCCATAAAGAGCACCTGCTGATCTCAGTGCCTCCTCACACTTGAGCTTCAGGAGATTGGCATTCCTGGGCTTCGTAGACACTTGCATGTGCATGCTCTTGTACACATACAGACACAAATTAAACTTAATATTTGTTTCTTTGTTTGTTTGTTTTAGAGGAGGCTGTCTAATGTACCTGCTGTCTGTCTCCCTGGCCTTCCTGACTTCCTGCATCTTGATCCTCTGCACTGTTCCTTAGTCACTTTCCATGACATCTCTCCTTAGCAATCATGCTTTTAAAAACCTACCTTCCTTTGCTACTGTTCTTCATTTAAATCAGTGGTTCTCAACATGTAGGTCAACAACCCTTTTGCAAAGCTCTACCTCCAAAAATATTTACGTTATGGTTAATAGTAGCAGAATTACAGTTATAAAGTAGCAGCAAAAATAATTTTATGGTTGGGTATCACCACAACATGAGGAACTGTGTTAAAGGGTCACAGCATTAGGAAGGTTGAGAACCACTGATTTAGATGGTTATAATGTGTTATGTGTTACATATAGCACAAATGCTGTCTTAGTTTGTGTGTCATACAGTGTTCTTTTCTTTTTAGTCAGATTGCCTCTACATCACTGAGTAGAATCCCGATTTAACTGGACTCCCTGCATTGGTCAGGGCAGCTTCTGTTTGGGTTGATAATATTTCTCATCATTTCTCCTCTTCTGCTATGTTTACATATTGAAATGCCTCCATCTCCAGTAGTAAAATGGCTCATTATCAGGGTTTGGCTAGGATTAGTTTTATGTTGCAAGTAATAGGTGTGTTATGAAAAAGTACATTAGTATTCCAAGGCTCATTTCTGATGTTTCCCCACCCTCTGACGCAGATTTCTGTAGGATCCAAACCATCTATCTTTGTCTGTGATAGATGTGTACTAAAATGTATGGCCAGTGCTACTTCTCTGTTTTCTATTCATGTCCAAATGAAGTCTCTAGTGTTTCCTCGCTGATCAGGGAGTGTTAGGATTGAATTCTTTTTTATCTTATGTTTCTAGGGATTGAATTTAGTGTATGCTAGATAGGCACTCCACCACGGAGCTATACTGTTAGCACCTGGTTTGTGCAACAGGGTCTCACTGTATAACCTTGGCTGCCCGCCTTAAATTCTCCATCCTTCTGCCTCCACCTCATGAGCACCAGGCTTACTGACTGAGTTTCTAAATACCCCATTACAATCTTTGCAAGTGTGGTCAGTGTCTTGTGCTAGAAGAAGCAGATTTGGATGCTGTCCTCTCATTTTCCCCTTGAAGGACCAGGAGTTGCTGACTGTGTAGAGAGCACACAATCAGCTGTTGCTGTTTCACTTGACACACCTGCAGCACAAGTGAGTGCAGACACAGCTCCTGCCACCAGGTCACCAGTGGCTCCTGTGTGCGGGAGCAGCAGCCCTCCCGCTAAGACCTTTGTGCTTCGTTCTGTGTTGAAGAAACCTGGTAAGCTGTTTGGAGAGAATGGAAAGGTAAGTGTTACGTTTCCTAAAGCAAAGGAGTGCCAGGTCATTTTCTTCAGACCAATAACTAAAGTTCACATATTACACTGGGGTCGAGGGAAATGTATTGTCCTCACTTGGTTTTTTAACTCACAATACTATTCTGAGATTGATCTGTTTTAAATTACTATTACATTGGTATCCAGAATTTAATATAGGTAGACTTTTTTGTGAATTTTGTGAATTATAATTCATTGTATTGTCAAATGACTTCATGGTGAATGTCTCAGTCTGTAACCTATACATTCCAAACATGTGGTTCTAGCACCTCTCCAGTCAGCCATGTTTCTGTGAAAACAGTAACCTAAGACAGGAGGAAGTTGCCAGGAACTAGGTAGCACGTTCTGAATGTTCTGAGCAGTTCTGTGAGTAGCCTTGGCACATGTCCGTTGATAGTGCATTGTTTGTTGTACCCTCAACCCCTTCTAGCAGAATGGGATATGTGTTTCATGCATCAAGAGAGAGGACTAACTCAGGAGGGTACACATTAGGAGTTTGCTTGTGGCAGAACTGTTCTCAGAGCCGGTGCTGTTCTTGGTAGTTATAGTACTCAAAACCATGGACTGGGCAGGGGTTCTGGGTGAGGTTGAAATGCAGGTGATGATTAACCAGGACTTACTATGATCGAACCTGCAGGCCTTCCTCTCTTCTGCAAGGCTTGTTCTGTCTGGATTTATAACTTCCTTTCCTTTATAGTGTGCCCTCTATAATTTTTGGGATAAACACAAACAAAACCTTTCTTATTTCATCTTCAAAAATAGGATATTCAAGCAAGAAATCCCACTATTCAAAGTGCTGTTCCCATGTGTGAGACAAAGCTCCCTCTTAGTGTAATATCATTTACCTTTTAGAGTAGTTCTTATGCGCAAACCATTGTGAAATCTGCCTGATCTGGCATCTGATATAATACGCTTAAATTTCACCACTCACATCTTCCTCAGTTTGCTAGATCAAAAATCGGATGATTTTAACCTTACTTAGGGATTTCTGCTCACTAATTTGGGCCCACAATACTGTTTATTAAATAAAACATGGAAGCCAAGGGCTGGAGAGATGGGCCAACAGTTTTAAGAGCACTTCTTCCTCTAACAGAGGCACCAGATCTACTTCTTGGCATGCATGTGGCAGCTAACAACTGTCTAATGCCAACTCCACAGGATCCAGTGGCCTTTTCTAGCCTCCACAGACAACCTGAAATGTGGTACACATTTGTACATGCATTCAAGACACTCTTACACTTAAAAATAAATATTAAATAATACAAGATAGGAGAACCTAGTTTTTTCTTGGGCCTTGTCGGCATGGTGTTTTAAGCCAGAACAGCTAAGAAAATAAAGGACTCTACTAAACAATTTTTAATGACTATGTTATGGGAGGAGTAGAACCTTTGATGGGTGTTTGTTTTGATTAGGAATGCAACCTATGTGATGGCGGGCCTCATCTAATCCCAGATCCTTCAAACTGCAAAGAACAAAGAGCAGGTGTGTTATCCATATTTACTTTAAAACCTAAGGGTATCATTTTGTTTTTAGAACTCAATGCAGTCTAATCGCCTCCTGCTTTACGCGAGATTACTTGAGGATGAAGAGTATCAGGGAGGGAAAATGTCTTTGTGGAGCCTCGTAATTGATCTTAGGTTGAGGGTGTGGCTCAGTGGACAATCATCTGTGACATGATTGAAGTCCTGGGCTCAATTCCCAGCGTCACACATTCACAAAAAGAAGTTATTGATTTTGCTATCAATTTTTACTTAATGGAACAACTTGTAAAGAACTTCAGATATTCCAATTTTTTTGAGACTTTTAAAAATTATACATAACTTATTTTAAAATCAGTACCATTTTAGTTGACTGTATGGTTTTCTTCCATTTGCCCTTTCTCTACAAGTAGTAGCTGAATATATACCATATGCAAACATTCTAGTACATGTGTTTTAGATAAGAAAAACGGATTTTTTTTTTTTTTTTTTAACATATTCTCATTGGTTATCTGTAGGTAGCGAAAACTGTAAATCACCAAGCTTTCTGAATCTGAAGAAGAGGAAGAGAGTTACTTTTGGAGAGGACTTAAGCCCTGAAGTGTTTGATGAATCTTTACCAGCCAATACGCCATTGTGTAAAGGAGGAACACCTGCCCGTCAACGAATCGTAAATGCTGCCAGTCCCCTGCAGTCACCCCTTCATGAGCAGTTACTTCAGCCAAACTTTGATGACAATGAGGAGAATCTTGTAAGTGGGGAAAAGCATAGAAAAAAACTTTTGTTTCTATTTCCATCAAGACTCACATTTTTTTACATGAAAATTATGATTTGAAATTATGAGGAAGACCAAATGACATGCCACATTTTAATCTCTTGTGTTTTTTGGGTTTTTTGTTGGTTTTCAAGACAGGGTTTCCTCTGTGTAGTCCTGGCTGTCCTGGAACTAGCTCTGTAGACCAGGCTGGCCTCAAACTCACAGAGATCCACCTGCCTCTGCCTCCATAGTCCTAGGATTAAAGGTATGCGCCACCACTGTCTGACTCAATCTCTTTTGTAACATTTTTTTTTTTTTTTTTTTTTTTTTTTAAAAAGACTTCCCCAGGCTGGAGAGGTGGCTCAGCGGTTATAAGAGCACTGGTTCTTCTTCCAGAAGACCAGAGTTCAATTCCCCGCATCCACATGGCAGCTCACAACTGTCTGTAGCTCCAGTTCTGGGGATCTGATTCCTTCACACCAAATAAAGTTAAATAAATTAATTAAGAAAAAATACTTTTCCCAATTATAGATAGTACTCTCATGGGACTTAAGTGCTATTGGTTGTAAGATAACTGTATCCCTAAGAAAAGACCCCCAGATGTCTGAGGCATTAAAATATGAAAGAAGTAAACACATGTTAGTAAATTTTCAATTGGATTAATTAGGGGTGGGGGCAGAATTACCAGTGTCAGGAAGGAGAGAGGTGACATTACTGTATCCTAACAAGTTTTCGAGGACAGCAGGGGATTAGCAACAACTTCATGCTGTCATCTTAGCAGCTCAGATAAATCAGTTACAATCTTTGAAACACATTAGACATCAACCTTCAGTAACCCCATGCTAAAGAAATTTAAATTATCATTGAAACTTTCCCATGGAGTAATAGTTTTGCTAAGGAAGTCTACCATATATTTAGACAAATGGCAAGATTGACTATATACACACTTTTCCCAATAAGACAGAATGCTATGTGATCATTTCAGTCCATGCAGAAGAGGCATTTGTGAAATTCAGCATTTCTGATTAATGATTAGATATCAAGAAAGTGTGGGCAAACTGGTAAGAAAGGGAATTCAGATTAACATTTTTGTCTGTGAATGAACAGTAGTTTCTATCTTCCTGGCAATTATGTGTAAAAGGTTTGAAATCTGTATCTTGTCATCTTACCATGAATTTAATTGAAAAATATAATACTAGATGGTCTTTTCTATTGATTTTCTTCAATTTTCTTTGTAGAAATTAGACAGTGGGAATTTAAATAAACCAAAAAATAGTTTGTCAGTGATTAATATGACCCCTTATTTGGGGTTGTTACAGTTGGTAAATACGTTTGCATTATGAAGATAGCCAGTCATTGTTCTAATGTTATCTTTGTTTTGCATAGACGTTTTCATTTTCTATTGATTTTTCTTTTCATTTTGTGCTTATAATTCCTCCTACCCAAATAAGGCCTTATTTTTTCCTTTGAGATATATTGTTTACATATTCACTGAATTTAAGATTATCTAATTTGTACTTTTTTTTTTCCCTTTGCTTAGGAAAACATAGAACCAGCTCAAATATCATTTGCAATTCTGAGTCCTAGTAAATCTTCACTCTCTGAGACTCTTTCAGGTATGGTATGTTTATCTTTTTTTATCTTCTGTTGGCAGGTTTGGGTGGTATGAGTTTGGTTTGTGATGTGCTTGTGTTTGGGAGCCTGAAGTTGCTTGTGGGGTTGGGTGAGAAGAGGACATTATCCTGTGTTCTCTATGCCTTGCTTGCAGGATGGGGTTAGGTGAGAACTCTCTCTGCCTTATCTCCTTTGAGACAGGATCTCTTACTGAATTTGAAGTTAGGCTGTGGCTAGTAAGCCCCAATAACCCCCCTGTCTTCACTCCCCCATAGCATTGAGAATAAAGGCATGCTTAGCTTCCACTTTGCTTTTTGAGACAGGGTTTGACATTAGGATGGATCTTGCTCATTAGGCTTACTTGATTGTCTGACAAACTCTAGGAATCTACTTATCTCTGCCTTCTGTTGATGGGATTATAATATATTATAACTTGCCTCTTTTATTTATTTTAAATTTATATGTTTTATATCTATGTACCTGTGTTTATGTGTGTATACCATATGCAGAAGAGGAGGGCAGATCCCTTTGGGCAGGCAAATGTGAGCCTCCCAATGTAGGTGCTGGGAACTGAGCTTGGGTCCTCTGGAACAGCAGCAAATTCTCTTAATAGCTGAGCAGTCTCTCCACCCCCAGTACCTGGCTTTTTCATATGGGTTCTAGGGATCAAACTCAGGTCTTTGTGCTCAATGAGCAGTTTACCAACTAAGCTGCCTCCCCAGCCCCTTAAATCTTATTTTCAGTACATAAAACTTAATCTCTTGTTCTTGATTTTAAGAAAACCAAATACTGTGTGTGAGAACTTGCCACTTCTTTCTATTGCAAGTCTCATTCTTCATAATCACCCTCATTTAACTTATATGCATTTTCTCTGCTTCAAATTGATGTCCACAGTGCTGTTGATCTCAGCCTGTTCAGGATCACTAATAGACTTTCATCTATATTTGCACAACTAACAAAATTTGGATTGTAAAGAACATTCCTATGTGACTAAAAGTTTTGCCCACCATTAACATGGCATTTTCAGTGTATATACTTTCCAAGAATATGTCGTTTGTTTGTTTGTTTGTTTGTTTGTTTGTTTGAAGACACGGTTTCTCTGTATAGCTTTAGAGTCTGTCCTGGCACTTGGTCTGTAGACTCCAAGTATTATGTCTTTTACGATCATGATAAGACAAAGATTTTTTTTCCCCATTTTTCTGCCATACCAGGTTTAGCTGGCAAAGTCATGATATGAGAACTTGAGTTATGAACCTTTATTCATGTTTTTTCCCTTCCTGGATCCTTTGATGCCTTCCCATTGATTTAGCCTGGTTTTCTGAGCATAGAACCCAAAGCTGTAAATTTCGAGTTACAGATAATAGTCTGTCGTGCTCCAAGCTCTGAACACATTACATTGCCTTTCATTTGTGCCATTAAAAAAAATGTCGGCTATGTCTAAAGATGTGTAGTTATTAAGTGTTTCCTTAATGTGCATTCTCTTATTCCACTCATTTTATTACATTCAGTAATGTGGTCTTCTAAAGATTGTTGTGGGTCTTGATTTATTGCTCTTGTTAATTATCTGTGTCTAAATGTGAGTTAAAGCAACAATCACTCAAAACACTATGCAGTTCCTTTACCCTCTGATTTGTATTATTCATATTAGTTTTGTGCTAAGAACTAATTTTGCTTTTTTCTTGATATCAGGCACTAATACTTGCAGTTCTTTAAGTAATCGTGAGGAAATAAGCTGTAGTGTTGGTAGACCAACACGGACTTCTCACAGAAGAAAGGTAAATGCTTAGATTAAATCTTCATGGTAATGAAGAAAATCTGATTTGGTGAGTGCTGTTAAGAATTAATACTTGTGCCAGGTGGTAGTGGCCCACACCTTTAATCCCAGCTCTCAGGAACTCTCATTTACAAAGCTAGTTCCAGGACAGCCAGCTACACAGAGAAACCCTGTCTTGAAAGAAAAAAAAAACTTTGCCTTACTCAGTTCATAGCCCAGAGGAATCTCTTGCTTGTCTGATTTTAATTCTACTAGAAGAAAATCTACTAGAACAAGAGCTTCCCTTTAGAATTGTGTTTCTATGGAAGGCAGTCTATTTATTAGCTGAATTTCAGATCTGTATGACAATGAATTTTATTGTAAATATGAAGAAAGTCAACATATAATTAAGAGCCAGAGAGTAACATAAGCACATGCCTTCTTAATCTATGCATTAGTTTTTTGTGGTGCCATTCAATTGACAGAGATTGGCTACATGTCTTTTGTTTTGGATTTTTGTCTATAGCTTTGTAAGTATAAGCAAATCTATACTATTATTGGATATTTACCTGTCTGACTGGATGAAAATCCTATATTGTAGCCTAATTTATAGTTCATGACTTGTTATACGCTAATAACAGTTAAATACTAAGTTCATTTTTTTCATAAGTATTTGATGAATGAGCCACTAATTCTTAAATCATTTTTTCTTCCTAATATACTAACCCTTCTGAATCCATGCTTGAGAATTTAGAGAATGATAATTAGTAATTTTGTCTTAATTTTGGTTGATGTACCTCTGATGTGGCTCAGTGATTGAGTGAGCACGCAGACTGTTTTAATGCTGAGCACTGAAGGTGGGGAGCAGGCAGAATGGGCCTATCATAGGAAAGAAAGCGAAGTGTAACCTGCCGGCCAGTGAAAGGTGACTGCCCATGCTTATGTTTCTTCCTATGGTTTTCTTTATAGCAGGTGATGAGTTTTGCAGAAGAAGATGTGTGCAACTCCTACACTACAGAAGCTAAGCCCTGTAAAGAGAAGAACATGAACAGGAGGAAATCTCAACAAAGAAAATGTACAAGCAAAGCACTTGCTGGAATGAAACAGGTAAGGATGCTTTTCACAATTTAATTCATATGATGTGTGGTACATTCCTTCATTGTTTGATAAGGGAAGCATGGAGGTACCTCTGCTCATTACTTGAGGCCAGCTCTGCACCTGCATCATCTGTGTGCACATCCAGCCCAGTAAGCAACAGACACATAGAATTGCTTCTCTTTTTAATAAGTCAACATTTTTCCTCCCCCCCCCCCCCACCAACCCCTTTTACTATGTATCCCAGGTTGGCCTTGAACTTACCATTTCCTCCTTCAGCCTCCCCATGCTGGGAATATAAGTATCATGCCCAGCTCTTAATATTCTTCATGGATGTACATATCTTTTTTGTTAATGCTTACAGTCCTGAGAAGAAAGTTGTATGGGTATCTTCACCAGTTAATTTTCCTGTTTAGTCTTCAGCTTCAGCTCTCCTCTTTCAGGATTGGATTCTGAGCTTGGTTGATTGAATAATAGTCAGTGCTAACTATTTATATTTACTCTGGTTGCTTTTAACCGATCTCCCAGGTCAGCTCAGACTACTCTCAAGCCAGTTTGTTAAGCATGAACTTACCAAACTCTGCCTATTGTTTTGTGATAGTGACAAAACGTCTGTCACAAATAAATGGCTGCTGGACCAATTCTGTGATGGGGTCCACATACCTCCTTCATACTCTGCTGTTCCAGAGTGTGAAGTTGCACTGTGCCAGCATGATGTTAGCAACCCTGACACTTAAGTTTCCCTCAACCACCGTGTCTTTTAACTTTTCTTGTAACTGGCCATAAGTGTTAGACTTTGCCTGCGCATGGCTGGTTAACTCATGTGAGCCAACTGCTACTTGGACTCCTATCCACAGGAGCACTTCTATATCTAAAAAAAGACTGGAAGCCAATTTGAAGGTGCCTCACTGTCTGTGTGCTTAGCTCACCCAGTGTCTTTATACTGTTCCCTTTCCCTTGGCATTCTGTTGATCCTGACTGTCCTTCTCTGGGGCCACCTATTCCTAGTACTTCCCTCTGCTACCTGCTGCTTGTTAGTACTTCACACTGTCCCATCTAGAAATGCCCACTTAGCTTCCTCTCTGACCTCAGTGTGTGTGTCCACCCACTTTACTCAGTCTCTTAATTATGTATCGCTTCTACCAATAATGATATCCTGGCCCTCTGGCCACTCCTGAGCTTTCAGTATCTACAATTTTATGTTTCCTATTTTGTCCTGGACTCCTTGAACTGTTGCATCCATTCTTGTAGTGATCTGTGTCCTTTTCAGCTGCCTTGAATTCCAGGTTACTTACTCCTTCTGCCATCTCATAATGCCACTGGTGAGGCACAGATGTGGGCTTGACCATCTAGAGTCAGGGCTTCGGGTGATACCTGAAATTCGCTCTAATCTTTCGTTTTATCTGAATTATTTTCCTAACAAATATGGTCATTTAGTTACTAAGATCAGTGCAAACATAGTGCTATTCTTAATAGATATCTCATCAGCATTTGACCTAATAGAACACTCACTTGCAATATCTGTTAAAAGTTGATTTTTCAGCAGGCGGTGGTGTGGCGCATGCCTTTAATCTCAGCACTTGGGGGCAGAGGCAGGCAGATATTTGAATTCAAAGCCAGCCTGGCCTACAGTGCAAGTTCCAGAACTACCAGGGCTACACAGAGAAGCCCCATCTCAATAAAACAAAACAAACAAACAAAAAAAACCCTGATTTATCTTCTACACTGTCTTATATGCATTCCCTAGAATTCTACTCTCTGCCCTTGTAAATGATTTGCTTTGTGGTGACCTCATATGCAATATGTTTATTGATGACCAGTGTTTAAAACCAAGTCTTCTTAATTCGTAAATCTCTGTCCAGCTGCCTATTGGACACATCTTCTAAAGCCACCTGTTACAAGCCCTTAAAAGTCAGCATTTCCAAAATTAGTACTACTCATCAGGAAACCCACAAAAAACATACTGTGATGTTCCCCTTAGTCCATAAAACAAAAAAGACTATTTTTCCTTGTTGATTGGCACAGATACACCTGAGTCATCAAATTCAGAAGAAACCATTTTCCTGCTTTGTTTTGTTTTTTAGACTTAGGGAAATGGTGAAAAATTACCTTGTTTTAAAAGTGTATTTGTGTTCAGTCAATGGTATACATACCACTTGTTTTTTTTTTTTTTATTTTAATGTATAGCTTTAAAAAACACAGTTACAAATAATGCATATATATTTCTTCCTAGCAAATCAGTGGCCAGACAGTTCAGGAAGACTAATCATTAGATTGCTCTAAACCATTCCAGGACCCTGTTGTATTAATATAATTGATGTAATTTAAGCAGTAGAGGTAGAATAGCAATGAGAAGGGGTGTTAAGCAACAGATGACAGCCTTCAATGAATTTCTAGAAGACAAGGCAGATGGGAACATGTTGACGGATAGAAGAGGTGGAAAGATTTACAGTTCAGAATGTGCTAGGGAAGAAACTAGAGGGATCTGGGAACCAGCCTGCTGGTGGGAATCCCAAGAGACATTGGCCCCAGAATTGGCAGGTACAATGGATGGGAAGCGTGAGAAGTAGTACTGAAAAAAAAAGATTAATTGAAGTCTTATATATGGAACAGTCTGTACCAGTTGGCATGCTATCCCTCTTTCCTGCCCTGATGTTCAGACCAGATGTTGTCATCTAGGTTAAAGCCCCATTCTGGCATCTGTAAATTCCCACAGTCTTAACAGCCAACTCTTGCCCTAACACAAAGCCTAACAACTGAGACACTCTTGTACTGCACTGCCTTGCCCTGACCCACCCCTGACCCTACAGGAAGTTCCCAAGGAAATTTTCCATACAGTAAGGAGACTGAGCTAGAGCACACAGGAAACTCATATCAATCTAGTCTGTTCTTAATTAAGAAACAGATCGTTGAGTGGAATCAATATTATTAGAGATACAAGTTAAAATACGAGTAAGTTACAAACAAAACAAAGTCCTAATCTCAGAGAAGTCAACTGTGGAATTGTTAGATTTAAGAAATTAAGAGGGAGATTCTATAAAGGGGGAACAGAAAAATAATTGGAAAATTGAAAATTTCTGAGTCTTCATCTGACTTCTCAGAGCTCTGCCAGCTGGGGACTCACCCTGCTGAGCCATTCATCTCCACAAGTGGCTGCCCTAGAGCCTATAAGAAGTGGAGATGGCCACAATGCTCACTGTAAGTCACCTATACCAGAGCAGAGGTGGGTCTGCAGCTAGGTGCTGACATTCCCCTAGAGTCAGAACAGCCTCTCTGCTGGTGCATGGGATGATTTGAACTCTAGGAAATGCTGTGACCTGGCCTGGGCCTGATACTCCTGGATGCTTCTGGCAGGAAGTTTCTTAAATACAGGAAAAGGCAATGTTTCCTCATGGTCAAGAGAAATGGCAGTCTTTCTCTTGACATAACCAAGGCAAGTCTTAAAGAAGAAAGCATTTGATTGGGGCCTTTTGCAGCGTCCCAGATTTAGTCCATTACTATCACAGCAGGGAGCTTGGCAGCAAGAAGGCAAACATGGTGCTGCAGGGTAGCTGAGTTCTCCATCTGGTTGAAAACTCAACCTATCCCCAATGACATTCTCCCTCCAACAAGGTCACATGGCCTAATCCTTTCAAATAGTGTCACTTCCTCTAAGCCTATAGGGGGCATTTTCCTACAAACCACCACAGCCAGTGACATCAGCAGAAACAATTTCTGATTTTATGGACTCTCAGGCCTCTTAAGGACTTGCTACTGCATCTGACTGGTTTGTGAGCATTGCAGGCCACTGAATCAGAAGAAGCTCATCCCCTGTGCCTGACCTGCAGACCACTGTAGTAAACTCAATGGCAACCTTCCACAAAAAACCTTACTGGGGTTCCAATAAGGGTCCTGGCATGTGTCACCAGGCTAAGTGGGATGAAAATGGGCTAACACTGATAGCAACTGTTCAGAAACAGAATGTGTGGGACTTGGAGATGTAAGTGGTCCTTAAATCCCTGTCCGCTTTTCTCAGTCATTGACATCTATGGAGAGTTCCAGACTTCCCCACAGAGACCTGCAGAATAGGTTACCATGACTTCTTACTGTCTTTATTCACTCAAGTCATGTCCCCTTTTCATTTTGTTCACATTTGAGTCTTGTTTTAGGGATATTCTAGTAACAATGGCATCATTTCATTAATTTAAAAAATAACAGACAAAGAAGGAAAATATCTGAATAAAGACCATATATAAATGAATGCAGCAAAGAATCACTAAGGGGGGGCATTAATTCTGCTTTGATAATCCTGACACCAGAGTTAGGTACAGTGGCATCTTCTGATACAGGTGTTCATAGTACTGTCTCTCTCTCATCGACATGACCAGAAGCTCATGTCTCAAACCCATCATGGTACATCTCAGATGATTTGATGACTGTCTGTGCTCTGACCTGGTTCTCTCTCTCCCTCTCTCTGGCCTGATCTGGTTCTTTTTAAAAGAGCAACAGCAGAAAAGTGATAGGGAGAACAGCCTTGTAGTTGCTGAGGCCTGGCTATCCATCTATGCAGGAATGGGTGGCAGCTTGTGGGAAATAAAGTGTGCTTTTGTGCTTGTCTCTCTTCATTATTGATTGAAGAAAAGCCAATATGGGATTGTTTAGTGTTGTATTTACTCATTGTTTGCTTATATTAAAAGAAAAATAGCAAATCTGTTTTTATCACATCACTCCCCATATATAGACATATATGTGCACATATGTAATTTATAGCAGTTGTCAGAGTGGAGAATAAAGAAATTTCTAAAAAGTATCATAGAAGAGTTAGATAACCAAATGCAAGAAATTTCACTGGAGCTCAGAAAGGGGGAAATTTTAATAAAAATATTGAAAATATAATATTTTTCAAAATTGAAGAAAGGGCTTTTCAAGTTAATGGAGCCTAAGAATGCTTGGTGTTTTGTTTTGTTTTTTGTTTGTTTATTTTTCAGTTGCTATGATAAAACACCAAGACCAGGGTAACTTATGCAAAAGTG